CCAAAGCTGAGAGACTTGCACATGTGCACGGCATAGCAAACAGGCAAAAGAGTTGAGGTTTCACTGTTGTCCATTTTGATCCTCCAGTGTCTATTTTTAGCTCAGCAATAACAAAACTCATTTACTAACTATAAAAATAACCCTTATTATTGAGTTTCCTGTGGGAAAGTAATCTCATTATGGGGATTCTGAAACTCTAGCTCCTGGCCCCTGAGCCCTTGTTTGAGGGGATATTTGAGATGGTCAGATGTCCTGGCACTTGTATGGAGAGAGATGCGTTGACTCCAGTATCCATGCCCAAAATTTAAAAGCCCAAGAAAAGAAAATGGGTTCTGATATCTTAACTCATGAAACAGAGTAAGTCGTGCTGATGTCCTGAAGTTGCCAGTGAAATTGGAGGTGCAATTAGGAGAGGGAGCCCTTTGCACAAAAAAATTATGGTTTAAGAAGAAAGAGTAAGGAATAGGGGGAGAACGTGATCTATAGACTCTGAGCCCTAAAGAGACTCACTGTCCTAACTCCATAAGGGACCCAAGAGAGTGCAAAGGAAGTACTGCAGTAAGAAGAGTGCCTTGGACCCTCAGGCTGCCTGTGGAAGATGAGGTATTTATTGTTCAGCAAATATGATTTCCCTAGATACCAACACTGCCATTCCTGTGAGAAGCGTATATTTTTCTGCTCTATAGATAAATTGACTGTGATTTGCCTCAATCAAAAGAATGGGGATGGAAGTGACAGTGGGCAAGTTTTGAGGGTCTGGCTAAAGAGACATTGCTTCCACTCACACCTCAGTTTTCAGTTGGTCAAGAAGGATGAGAGGATCATGGAGCAAGTCTGGCCCTCATCCGCAACTGGACTTGACCTCAACACAGCCTTGCACTGATAGCTGAACTCAAGTTGATTAATGGACATCTGATGGAGAAACTCACATTTAATGTATATCACCAAGTTTGGATAATTTGTTATGCAGCATAGCTGACTGATGCATGGCCCCTTCCTTGCTTCTTGGTTACATCTCTTTCTATGTCCCTCCCATGCTTATTCCTCTGCCTTCTCCCTATGAAAACCTTTCGACCTAAAGGTCTTGGAGAAACCCTTAACTCTTAGACTGAATTTCTTCAGACTTTTCCAAACATAAGCATTTTCCAAGTTACTTGTCTCTTGCCACAAAGAAAGACTTTGCTATTCTCATCAATTAACAAGCAGATGAGAATGGCATTTATAGGCAAAGGACATCTTGTCTAGGTCTCTTGATGTCACACTCATAGCAGACCCCAGCATATTTTAGGAAACTTCAAAATCCTGAAAAAAAATGATTCTGCAAAAGTCATGCATCTATCTCATCCTCTGGTTTGTTCAGTGAAAGATGAGGGAATGGTGGCATTTTTAGCTGGTGTGTGAGGACTTCTGCTCCCCACCCTTGCTTCCCTCCAGGTTTGGCCCCAGATTCCCTGGTCCAACCACTAGAGTGAGTTCAGGGAGATGATTAATATTGGTAGAAGGCTCTGAAGAATCTAGACCCTTCTGTTTATTAAATAAAGAAGCTTGTGTTTAAATAAAATGTCAAAGGTATGACACAGACCAGAATGATCCAAGGCAGACTGTCAGCTTTAGCCTTGAGTAACTAGATGTTCTTCAAGTTTTGACTTCTGAACTGAAAGCCTCTGATGATTTTCCAGGAAGACTCAAACTGCTCAAGGAAGAGGTCAGCACAGGTCAACAGAGCCCATCCATTTCTTTCCATCAACTGTTCTTAATGGCAGCAACTTTTGTTTTGGGGTGCAGGACACAGTGGGGTCACTAACATGCACTGTGGAAGGCATCCATCCATGACAGCCTAGCCTTGGCTAGAGAGCATCACTCAGTTGATAAATTCTTCCCTGTCACCCTCAACCTCTTGTGTTCATTTGTTGCTTTCCCTTAAAAATAGTCATTAGAAGCTCCCTGTGCTGGCTTGGCTCCAGGAGCTGGGGACACACACAGCATGGGACAAGGACGCTGGAGGTGAAGACAGAGAAATACAAGTCAAAACATGGGTGGTCTGATAACAAGGACCAGGTGAAAGATAAAACTGGTGGTATTATATGACAATTGAACTCATTTGGATAAAGGGGGCTGTGTTCAGAATGGGTAAAAGTGTCAAGGAAGAGCAACATAGAGTCTCGGTGCAGCCTTCTCTCTGACAGATGCTTTCTGTGCACTCTGTGAACTTAATTCATTTAATCCTCACAGCAATCCTAAGGGATGGGGACTCTTGCCTCCTCTTTTACACATGAGAAAGGAGATGCACACAGAAGTTAGGTAACATCCCCTGCACCACACAGCTGATAAGAGGGAGAAGCTGAGGCCTAGGTACCAGGAATGGCCATCCCTGAAAAGGTCTAGGAAAGTGTTCCAGACTCAGGACAAGATGATCATTACAGTCCTACTGGCAAAAGACCAAGAGGCCGTGGACCAGGTGGCAGCAAGGGATATTGTGAGAAATGTTGGGCCTAGGACCCTTCACTGTGGTGTCACCTTGTTTAGTCTCCACCCTTCTTGCTGAACCAGACACTGCATGAGGACCAGCACCTCTCACCTCATTACCCTATGACCCTAATACTTAGTATGGTGTTTAGTTCATAAATTTCTTTGCTAATTCTCTTCGGATCACTTCATTAGTTAAGTAATTAGCTGATGAGCATTGAACCAGTCTGAAGTTGGCTTGAATCCCAAGTCCTTCATCTGCTGACTGTTCAGCAGATTTCAGCTCCACGCAAAATCATAGCCACTCCAGGAATACATTGCACCACAGAATCTAAAGTTGAGAGGCAACCCAAGTCCCTGTTATTCATACTGTGGTCAAAGGATCAGCTCCCGAGGCAGAGGTGGGAATTTATTGGAAGTAAACTCAGGCTCAGTTACAGCCCCACCAGAGCAGTATGTTGGGGGAGACAGCTGCTGCTCTGGTTAGGTATCAGCTCATCTCACATCTCCAGGGGATTCTGATCATCAGAAAGAAAGTTGGGATAGGCTGTGCCTGATCTCTTCCAGGCCCAGTGGCTTTTGTATTGTCCTCAATCCTTGAACCCCAGCCCTCTACTCTCTGGCCCTTGGGGCCTAAGAGTCACAAATTGCTGGCAATAGCCCCACCATCCCTCGGGCACTGGCCACTCCCAACTGTTCTGATGAGCTGACAGCCACCCCATCACAAGTCTGGCTAAGATCTATCAGCTGGGCTTGGGAAGGTCCAACAGCATCAGACGCCAGACAGCCGGGGGCCTTGCCATTCACGGACCTGGGTCCCTGCTCCCTGCAGAGCTGCCCTCTCTCCTGTGCAGTCCTCCTGCCCAGCAGCTGTGTGAGAGAAACACAGCGGAGCAGGATCCTGATTGTGGAAGGCTTCCTTTCGGTTCCTCCTGAGCAACCTCTGAAGGTACAGGTATCAGCCAGGATAAATTCTTCCCCAACTGCCAAGCATTTGCCAGCCCCATCAAGACCTGTTAGTCTACTGTGAGCTCAGGATGGCATAAAAATGTGTTTTTTGTTCTATGATGCGACCTTCTGAAAGCTGAGTTTTCTTCTCTTAGTTGACGCAACAGTCACTGTAGTGAGTTACAGAGCTTGCTTTTCATTCCCGGCGCCTGTCCCTGGTCGGGGTGGCTGGGGGAACGGGACTAAGACCACCTTTCCTAGGTCTCTGTAACACTTTGCTTCGCTCCTCAGTGCTCCCCCTTTAAAAGTATCATTGCAGACCTTGCCCCGATGATACTAAGTGATGGGGCTAACAGGGAACTTTCTTCACGGCGTCAACAGTCTGCCAGGACTGTCCCACCTGGCACAAAGTGGGGGCATCAGTCAGCTTTCTGTCACTGCAACAAAATCCCTGCGATAGTCAACTGAATACAGGGAAAAGTTTATATTGGCTCATGGCTTCCATGCCCGGTTGCTTGGCCCCGTTGCTCTGGGCCAGGGGGAGCACAGTATATAATGGCAGGAGATGTGACACAGGAAAATGTTCCCCTCACCTTGCCAGGAAACAAAAGCAATATGGGGCCAAAGTTCCAACAACTCCTCAAGGACACCCAGTGACCTCACTTCCTCCCACTAGGGTCCACTCTTAAAGGTACTGCCACTCCTCAATGGCACCACAGGCTGGGACCAAGCCTTCAACCGATGGGCCTTTGGGGGACACTTGTGAACACCATAGAAGTGGGCATTCGGTGCACATTGCTTACTGAACACCATAAAGCCTGGAGGTATGCGGGACTTCATAAAGGTACCCATTCTGATGAGGATGGGTGGGCACACTTTTACGCATGTGTTTATCCAAAGCTCTTCAAGTATTTTTTATACTGGAGCTGACTTGAATGCTGTGTTGAATCAAGTAAGAAAATCTTTCCCAGGCAAATTCAAACTTGCTGCCATCTACTGTCCAACACTTGGCATTGGCTTTACCTGTGTGTGTTCAGATTTTAGCTAAACCTGTGTGAAATGTTCCCAGAGGACTATGGAAACATAATCTACTCTAAAGACTTGACAGTATCCTATTTTTACAAAAGAATGAACACACAGCTCTTTTTGGGATTAATAGTATTCCTCAAGCTTAAAGAGGAGCTCAGAAAATTTCCAATCAATAAATTATGTTCGACCCCAGCTGATGGTACTACTGTCCACACTGGGTTTTATGACTATTCCTCCTTAGTCTGTAAGTCTGAGAAGAAGCAAACTGAAAAATTGAAAATCTGACAGGGCTCAAACCCAAACATAGCGATTTGGAAAACATTGGCAGTCATGGCTGCTGCTCAATTGAATTTCCCAGGAGGTCTATCTACCTGCTCTCCAACAAAGAGGGCTGTGTGTATGTGCGTGAGTGTGTGTGTGTGTGTGTGTGTGTGTGTGTGTGATTTGGCAGGTGCCCCTTGGACAACGTCTCACTGGCAAGGATCACCAGTGAACCCTGCCCCTCTCCCAGTGTGCCCTCCCACACTGCTCACCACTCTGCAAACTCATCCTGTCATGACATGTAGAGCTTTCACAGATACTGTCTACACTCAGGTATGGTGGTTTTCCTTTCAGCTATGGATTCATGTAGAAGAGAAGCTTTCAGAAGAGCTGGTAAAGTCCTACAGTGTGTGTGTCTCTGTGGGTCCCCAATGAAGTGTGTGTGTGTGTGTGTGTGTGTGTGTGTGTGTGTGTGTGTGTGTTCTCGGACTATCAGGAAAGTCACACTTGATCTGTCAGTTTAAATTCCTCCCCACCTGAGACACATGTACTCTAATCATCCAATTCCTTGAAGTCCGGGTTCTGTATCATCATCATTGCCAAGTGTGAAATCAGCAGTTTGCCGGTCTAGGGCCTTTCCACTCAGTAATCCCTGTACTTAGTCCTCAGCTATACCGCCAAGGGTGGGAAGGAGTATTGCACATTGCATCTGTTCACTCATTCCTTCGTTCCCTTCTTTGCCATTGCACTGATTCTGAGCTGAACACTAACCAAGGGCTAAGGGTGCTCACTCTTTTGGGTGCTAAGGATTTGAAAAAGATGAACCAAGATATTTTTCTCCCAAGTAAACTGCTCATTCCCATATAAGAGGCTCTCTCTGCCCTCCCCACTCCCCCCCCCCCCCCCGAACTGATTCTGAGCTGAACACTAACCAAGGGCTAAGGGTGCTCACTCTTTTGGGTGCTAAGGATTTGAAAAAGATGAACCAAGATATTTTTCTCCCAAGTAAACTGCCCATTCCCATAAAAGAGGCTCTCTCTGCCCTCCCCCCCCCCCCCCCCCCCGCAGGGAAAGGCCTTGCAGGCAGAAAGAAGAGACAAGAGGAGGCTCCAGGGCTGCTCCAGGGCACAGAGCATGGTGGTGAGGACTGGACAGAGGAGGTGGGAGGTGCAGAGAAAGTGGGAAGGAGGAGAGAGGAGGTGGGAGAGGTGAGCTGGGACCTGGCCTGCAGAACTTCCTAGGATTGCTTGAGCATGTTTGTCGTTCACACTAGAGCACTGACAGTCTAGTGATGGGGAGGGGGATTTAGGAGAAAAAGGTGGTGCTGTTTTTTCTTTCAGAACAGCCCAGCGCCTTGTGTGGAAAATCAGAGTGGGGATGGTAATCAAGAAGAGCCAGAGGCTTGGGCAGGATGATGGCCACGGAAAGAGAAGGCCACGGGCAGAGGCCACAAGCAGAGGCAGAAATGCTCAGGATGTGAGTCAACAGCGCAGCCAGCTCGTGACCAGAGCAGACTCACAAATGCGTTTTTCACTCCCTCAGGTTCGAACCGTTCGAAATTTAGGCCTTGGTCCCGGCACCTGTACTCTATCACATGCTTATGAAATACCCATATCCTACACAAAATACAGTTTTGTAGTTCAAAAAAATCAAGAGAATTTTTTTGGGGGGTACCCTGGATCGAACTCAGGCCTTTGCGCTTGTGAGGCAGGCGAAGGAACCACTGAGCCAAATCCCCAGCCCCCCAAGAAGATTTTTATAGTCTATTTTATACATTTAACTTATAAGTGGTCACTGTTCCTTGGTAATCGTCAGACACATCCAAAAATCCTACTCCGGTGAGAAAATCTAACCTACAAATTGTTCTTTAAAATTTTTTATTGGTACTTGTTTGCAGAATATAACAAGTACATGCGAGGGTTGCGGGGGTGCCTTTCCAAAGCACGTCTTAATTCTGTTCATTCCACCTTCCCTGCTCCTCCCTCCACAAATTGTTTTTAAACTTAATGAAAATATCTGGGCACCGCGGCCCATACCCTCGCGGGCCGAGCCCCGGTTCTGTAAGCTTCCTCACCCTCAGTCTTTCCTTTCCTTTGCCAGCAGCATCTGCGCAGGTGCGATGGGACAGCGCCTCACCTCACCTCATGAGATGCCGCAGGGACCCCCTCAGCTGTTCAAACAGTTTTTGCAAACTGTGGAGGTCAGGGAGTGGACACCCCACAGGGAATCCCAAAATATTGCCATCTCCCAGCTCTTCAGCAGGACGTTCTCGAGGAGTACCGCAAGGCTCAGATGGGGTTCCCAATGGAGGGGACCCCAGTTGCCACAGCAGTGATCAGCCTGATCGCCTTCCTTTGTACACTATTCCTGGTCTCCCGCCACTATTTCTTGGGATCATTTCCCAAAATAAACTATCAGCCTAGGAGCCATTATCTCAGGCTTTGGGACTCAGGTGCAGCCAGGTCAAGACCACTGGCACCGGGAGTGGTTCTAAGAACCAGAGGTTGCACAGGGAGCAGTGGTACATGCTTGTAATCCTAGCACTCTGGTAGGCTGAGGGAGCAACATCACAAGTTCAAATCCAGCCTGTGCAATTTAGCAAGTCAGTGAGACCTGTTTCAAAATTTTTTAAATGTCTGGGCTGTAGGTCAGTGCAAAGGCCCTGGGTTCAATCTCCAGGACAATGAGAAAGAAAAGAAAGAAAGAAGGAAAGAAAGAAAGAAAGAAAGAAAGAAAGAAAGAAAGAAAGAAAGAAAGAAAGAAAGAAAGAAAGAAAGAAAGAAAGAAAGAAAGAAAGAAAGAAAGAAAGAAAAGAAAGAAGGAAGGAAGGAAGGAAGGAAGGAAGGAAGGAAGGAAAGAAAGAAAGAAAGAAAGAAAAGAAAAGAAAGCCCCAGCTGAGAAGAGGGACTTTGCTGACCGGTTGGCTTCCTCAGAATACTTTACCCTTGAAAGGCAGCGATTGGTTCTCTCTGGAACCAGGTATCAGTTTGCTGATCTCCCTGCCCACAGGACCACTGCCAGCACCACCGTCCAGGACATGAGATCCTGTGTGGCAATGCCTCAGATTAGGGGAGACTCTGGGCAAAGGGTGGCAACAATGAGTGCCCAACCACAGACCCACAGACGGATGCTTCGATCCTGCCATCAGCCCATGTCATCTGTGAGTAGCTGGGCTGACACAGCGAAGGAGGGACTGACTATCTGTGGACTGGCCCAGGTGAGGGCACAGGGAAGACCCTGCAGTCCAGGCACTGTCCCTCAGGGTGCCACTGTGCACTCAGTCGTGGGCCATGAAGCCCTGCTGTGTCCCTAGGAGCCAAAGGATGGCAGGAGGTTCCCCTCTCCCAGAGGACCCATCTCAGAATTTTGGCTCCTGCTCCCCAAACTTGACATTTTGTTTGGCCCCAGAAAAGTCTTAGTGACTGAGGTTGGATGGAGAAAACCCACCATTGAAGTCTTTTGGAAAATACAAACAGAGGGAGGGTGATGACAGGAGTGAGAAAGGAAGAGGTGCCCTGGGGAGGGAGAGAGGTTGGGGTTTCTTTCAAAGACTCTGTGAGGACCATGGGCACTGGCTGCAGATGGATTCAGCCTCCAGAGACCCAGTGGGAAGAGCACACAGATGAATGCAAAGCCACACGCACAGGCCAAGTCCAGAGCTAGGCCAAAGCTGAGACCAGAGGTCCCACCTGAGGAGCAACTCTGCACAGATGGCCTGGTCCAGACAGGCCAGTGGAAACCCATAAACCCTGGAGAGGAGGGTGGCTGGGCCTCCTGTCCTGGTTTTCAGGCGGTCTTCTGGATGAGGTCATAAGGTTGGTCTGAGGCAGGACTCTCCAAGGTGGGAGTCCCCAGCCAGAGCCCACAGCCATGCCCAATGGCCTGTGACAGGGCATATTGTGACGCTGGTCACTGCCTCTGCTGCCTGTCCAAAGGTTTTCTGTTTGTAGTCGTGCAGTGGGATCCCAGAGTGTTGCCTTTCGTGCATGGCTTCTTTTGCTCAGCACCCTGTACTCTAGTGTGACTGGTGCACACATCAGTAGTTTGGCCCCTCCCACCGCTTCATGGCGATACATGGTATGTGTCACCGTGCATTTGCTGGTTTCACACAGGGCACATTTCCTCTTCAGTCCTGAAGACCAGTAGTTTGAAATCAAGGTATCAGCTGAGTATCCTTCCTGAGGCTCCAGGGGAGAACTGGTTCCTCATGTCTTCCAGCTTCTGGTGACTCCAGATGTCCCCGACTGTGGCTGCCATTCTCCAGTCTCTACCCCTGTGTCCACATGGCCTCCCCCTCTTCTCCATCTGGGTCTCTTTTGAGGACATTCATCGTTAGAGTTATGATCCACTCGGGTAATCCAGGATGACCTCGAGATCCCTACCTGCATTTGCAAAAACCCCTTTACTATAAAGCACCACATTTATGGCTTCCAAGAGGCAGCCCCCAAATATACCTGGGGCAGAGGCAGGCTGGGGAGGACACCGTTCAATCCCCCACAGGGACAGGCCACAGTTTGCTTATTTTGTTATCAGCTGATGGCCATTTGGCTTATTTCCAGCCAAATGGAGGACATTATAAACACAGCTGCTGTAAACACCCTCCAGTCTTCCAGGGAGCTGTGTTTTCATTTCTCGAGGGAGTGAGATTAGCAGGTCACTTTTTAACCTTGTAACACCTAACAGAGGCACTTCAAAAACAAAAACACAGTGACAGTCCCTCTCTGAGTGGCCCTGCCCTGGGGCCTCTGACCCCCAGCTCTTCCCATATCTCTCCCCTGCCCTACTTCAGGTAAGGTCCGGGAGCTGCTCCCTGCCCTCTCACCCTGCACCATGTACATACAGGGAAGAGGAAGGACCTAGGGCTGTGCCTCTCGCTGTGCCGAGCCAGCCTCCCACCTCAGAAGTGACAGTTTCTCTCTCTGCCATAGGCCCCAACTTGTGGACTCCTGGTGACCCTGGGAAGCAGCAGAGATAAAGGTCCTGGTCGAGCCACCTTATCACGACACCTTGTGACCATGGCCCAGATGTTCCAGACAGGCCAACAGGAAATGAAGGAATAAGGCACACTTGCTCAGATGTGAATTTATAATCAATCTGTATTTGATTAACTCAGAAACAAATGAGGAATCGATATTGCTAATCTCTGTGGACTCCCTTCCCTCAGAGGCAGACCACAAGCTGAGCCTTTCTCTAGTTTGGGTTTGGCTATACAGTCCTCCTCTTGGGTCAAAAGAATATTCTGGTTAATGTCAACATTTGCTTTTAAACTCTTTCTTAAATTTGTTTATTTTTTTCTCATTATTTATTCTGGTTTGACCTTGGCCTGTGTGAGAACCAACTGATGCAGGTCCCTCATTCCCTACCTGGGTTTCCAGTCATGAGATCCTGCACACCTGTGTGACCTCAAACACTGACTTATCTCACCTGCACAGGATGGCTTCTGCCTGCAGGCACTGAAGGACCCGATGACATGCTTAGAAAAATGGCTCCAGGTAGCCTGATGGGTTGCACACTAACACCAGCCTTAGCCCTCACACTAACTCTAGCACTAACTCTTGCACTAATCCTAAGTTTGAACCTTACCTTACCCCTAGGTTAACCCCAACTCTAACCCTAAAGCTATACCTAGCACTAGCCCTATAGCTAACCCTAGTCCTAATCCTAACCCTCACCAGAGTCTGCAAACTTCCATTTTTTTTAACTATAACCCTATCTCTAGCCCTAACCTAAACATAGCATTAGCCCTAACCCTAGGGGCTAACACTGACATAAATATAAACCTACTTCTAGCCATGGCCCTAACCCGAAAACCTAACTAAACCCTAACCTAAAAACACTAGCCATAACCCTAAACATAACCATAACAATAAACTAAGTCCTAAATCAAGCCCTAATCCTACTTCTAACCCTTACCCTAACCCTAACATTTGACCCTAAATGCTAGCCTTAGCCCTAGTCCTGGCCTTAACCCTAACCCTCACTTAGTCTAAGTACTAGACACAAATCTAATCCTACCATAACCCTAACCCTAACCAAATCCTAACTCTAAATCTTAGACTACCATTACACCTAAACCCTAACACTAAATGTACCCACACGCACTAGCTCTAGCCTGAAAACTAACAACACACCTAACCCTAACACTAATTTAGGCCTTAAACTTTAACCTAACTACTTCTAACTAGCTAGCTCTAACTCTAAACTTAACACTAAAACAAATCCTCAATCTAAAACTTAATCTAACACAAACAAATCCTGGAAATAGCCCTGACTCAAAACTTAAACTAACCATAGTCTTAGCCCTCAACTTAACCCTAACCTAACATTATCCCTGTCTCTACGGGTAGCCCTATTTTATCCATAGCACTAGTACTAAATCTAATGCTAACCCTAACCCTGGCCCTAACTTGAACCCTAAACCCAGCCAGAGGCCTGGCCTGAGACTTAAACCTAACCCTAAAACTCTAACCCTAACCCTAGCCCTCACCCCAGCCCTAACCAGTTCCAGAGTTAAGGTTAGGGTTGTGCTAT